CAGCGATGAACATAGTGTTTGCTTCTTTTTTAGATTGAGAAAAACAGAAATTAATTGTGATAGCGCTATCATCGTTCTGAACCAAATACAGGAAAATATAGATATGGCTTATAAAACGTCTTTACCGAGTCAATCATCAGTGCTTATCGAATGGATGTGGCAGTCCAATCCCGATCCGTGGTCAAATTCGCAGCAATCCGAATGGGATCATTATTCGGACGTTGAAAATCTCATTATCGAAGAAGCATTCTCAACAAAAAGAAAAAACGTTCAGCTAGACGACTATTATATCGATTTTGAATGTAGCCTTCAAATATCTAACAATGATCAAAACAAACGAAGACCTGTGAAACGAATGATCTACAGTGGAGAAGAGAAACACATAAGAAGAGAACGCTTTTTGTCGGATTCGATAACTGCGATTCGTTCCTTCGGTGATCAGTATGGTTGGGTGCCACCCTTCACTTTAGAAGTGCGAAAATATCTCGAACTGGAACCAGAACAATTACCATCGCATGACGGAGCGATTGTGCCGTCAGTTGTTGAGATAGCAGCTTCTGGTATAATCGAAGAAAGTAAAGAAATTGGAAAACGATGTGAAGGGGAGAAATTGGCTCAATTGCTGTTGGAACAGAAAAACAAAGGAATACAGGAAATATGGAAAACCTGTGCTTTTCTCTATACAATGGATAGTTTTCTGTATAGAAAGTTAAACGAGGTCATGAGATTGGTAGGCAGCAACGAACATGAACTGACCTGGCGGAGTAAAATTCCCACACTGGGACCTTTTTGTCTTCTACTCTGGGACGATCCTCTTCACAATAATCTAAACGCCAAAACGACACTCTACCGTGCAGCCAATCTATCGGACGATCAAATTGACAGTTACAAGGATTTGTACAACTCGGGTAACTACGGTTCATTTCAAGCATTTACTTCGTGCACTCGGAATATTGAAGTAGCCAAGTTTTACGATAGTAATACTTTGTTCATTATGGATATAAACTTCGCTTTCACTGCGGATGTTAGTTCATTATCAAAATATCCTGATGAAGAAGAAGAACTCATTTCACCCGGTGTATCATTCACAGTTCAAGGTGTGGAGCTTGATGAAGATACAAAGAAACATCAGATATACTTAGATATAGTACAAAGGTTTACGAGTAAGTAGACGCAGTTTAATGCATAATCCATGCAGAATTTTATCACTATTCACAAAACTTTTTTCATCTTTACTATTTATAATCGAGTTGTAGTTAAACAATTAGTTCATATATCCGGTTGGCGTATAAGTTCTGCACGTTTGGATCAGTAGAATTATATCACCAATATAAAACTACATTTTAAGGAAAGTAATTATATATTCTAATAGTGCTCGGAATTCTCTATCACCCTATATATTTAAGTCTTGACTTGCATTTATTTGCTGAAAAATATTTCGAGTGCACCGAAGACACCCTCACTCTCATTGACAATGTTCGAAACATTTCTCAGAAAATAAGTTCAAGCCAACACTGAATATACACGATGATAGAGCATTTCAAGAGCTCTCAGAACATACAATTACTTTTCTAAAAAAATGGATTACTGTATAGATAAAAATTTTAAAAACATATGAAAAAGGAACAAAAAATGAAGTTCGTGGAAATCTGCGGGTGAGGGTGTCTTCAGTGTACTCGAAATATTTTTCAGCAAATAAATGCAAGTCAAGACTTAAATATATAGGGTGATAGAGAATTCCGAGCGCTATTAGAATATATAATTACTTTCCTTAAAATGTAGTTTTATATTGGCGATATAATTCTACTGATCCAAACTTGCAGAACTTATGCGCCAACCGGATAGTTAAAGCTTGATGTTTATAAAGAAAAGTTCCTGAGAAACATTGTGTGTCATTCTGAATGTGCATTTTTGTGCATAGATTTAATCTTTTTGTTGCTTAAGAAAATTGTATGTTGCGTAAACAATCAAAATAAACATCTGCTATACAACGATAGAATCTCAGAGTACAATAACTAGTTTTCTCCTAGCATTGGGTTCTTGTCGAATTCATCAGAAACTCGACAGATATTTCAACATGCTGCTGCCTGGATCCAGTCTAGAGTTGTAGTCAGAGAGAATTTGCACACACAATGAAAGTGGTTGTGTCATATTTAACAACTGTAATTAATATAGATTATGGTGCAGCAATTTTAATGACGATTGCCTTCAACAACATATCATTACATAAGTTGCCGTTACTTTGTTTGATTTGGCTTGAAACATCTGTAACATTGTGAAGAGATAGAGTAGTCTTCTGTCATCAATGATAACATCTGAAGAAAACTTCTAGAATAAAGGTCTATCGATGAGTAATGAGGCACTCAGAACAGAGCTCCGCGAGGCAAGTCCCGCACTGTTGCACACACCCCCGCAGCATTGTCTAAACTTGCGCGGAGCACGAGCTGTTTTATCTCATTGTTCGATGGATTTTAGAAGAACACTGAAGAAATGAATTGACACTTGCAACAAGTTTGCACATATCAGGAAAATAAAAAGGCGCGTGGTACGGGATCGTCTCGTGGAGCTCTGACTCAGAATGCTACACATGTCTATCATCTGTCTTTAAGACAAATTAAGTTTACGAAATTCAATCACTACATATATTAGTAATAAATATTGATAAAGTAACAGTTGCACTAGATTTTTTGGAGTCCATTTGATGAACTCATGCTATTTCAGAGAAGAACTCACTTCATCTGACGCACTAGTATTTCTCAAAAAAATCTTTTTACTTTAGAAAAAGACGCTCAACAGCCAACAACATTGACACAAAACAAAAATGATGATCGTGATGAAGAACTTTTTGAACAATACTGTCTTGACGCTTATGATTCTTATGATGAGGATGATGATATTCATCATGATCTTCTCAATCCGCGTACTCCTGCTTATTGGCGACTCAACCGTTATAATCGTGATGGTAATGAGCGTCATTAAGACAAGCACATTCTCTGCAAGAGTATGTGTCACTTGACAGTTTTGAATTTTCGAATAAATAAGATTTATGCATGAGTCGTGTCTCAATTAAATTAGTAGCAATCTTGAACACACAGTGCAAGTATATATTGGTGTGGGTGTAGGTGTGGATGCATGTGTGTGGGTGTGGATATGGGTGTGGAGTATGGATGTGGGTGTGCGGTATGGATGTGGGTGTGGATGTGGGCGCGGGTGAGTGGATGGGTGTGGGTGTGGGCGTGGGTTTTAGTGTTCTCTTCATCTACACACGCATTCGTACCCAACCACAACTCTACATCTACACAGCAAGCCGACCCACGACCATACACGGACACCCATATTCACACCGTCATCCCACGCCTACAGCCATACCCACTATCACAGTTGTACCCCACACCTATAGCCACACCCACTACCACAGTTGCACCCCACAGCTACATCCACACCCTAAAAGACCGAGAAAATGTGTAATAAATTATCTATGTAAATGAAATCATTTTTTTAATGATTATTTGAAGCACGACAGTAAACCATTCATTGGTATAACATGATGAATGTCATCCTACGACAAAATTAACAAATAATCAATCAATAATGTTTTTTTCGTGCAATTAGCTTTGGAATTTGGTTGATTCGAACGAATCAAGCATACAAAATATATGTGTTTGGTCTTCTTATCGTTCTCGTCTTCCTAGATGTCTAGCTGCGCACACACAGAAGATCTTGCTTACTATGTGGGAAGAAAGTTTGGTAACCAAAACAAGAATGAGAGCAACATTCATATATTCTATTTCTGATATTTCGTTTTTTTCTTTTCTTTGGATGACGATGCATCTCATTTTCCTTCTTGTTATCTGTTGCTTGCTTGATGCACAGAAACCTCATCAACACTCTTGAAACGAAGGAAAGATAAGAAATCTTTCATGTGAGGACTCAGGCAGACAGATAAACGGTAAAACGCTATTTTGACGCATTGGAGGTGAAAACAGAAGAAAATAATGCTTTATAACTCGCGCACTCGACAAATGAAAGAAATGAACGGATTTCAACGCATTTTAACTTTTTGTTAACGCATTTTAACAGACTAAAGAAACATATTAAGGCAAGTGACATGTTGTAACGTATTCAATAGAAGAATTAAACAAATGAATGCATTTTAACATAGAAATACATTCGTTTTAACCAGTCATGGGAGAGAAATTCCAGATATAGATCGTAACTCGTTATAACTTATCTATATCACATTCTTTTAAAAGAGCAATACTTTTAAAATTAAAATTCTTTCTTTTAGACTTCAAGTAAAGCTAAGAATCACAGAAACTTTTTAACTTTATGTGATTCCGCTGAGATTCGGACATTGAAAAAAAACATGGAGTTACGAACAGAACGAAATTTAGTGTCATTTCCGGGTCGAAATGTAAGTTTTTGGACAATACATTTTGAAGTAGTAGTTGCCAATGTTGTTTCATCGCATATTCCATAAAGTATATTAGTACATTTAAAAATTCGATTGTTTGTCCACATAGAATCGGTGGATGAAATTAGAACAACCGGGCAAATATTGAAGACTGGTTCAGGACAAGTGTCAACAGAAATGATTGTCTGCAAAAATCTAATTGATAGTAAAATCACATCTTCTATATATTACACATCCGTTGTTTGTTTTCCAGGAGTATCGATAGGATCAGATGATAATTGTTGGTGGTTAAGGAAAACTGGAGTATATGGAAGGTTTGTGCAACACTTAGCAAATGAAAAAGGTTATCTTAACTGATATATATCTTTTACAGGTACATCGATGATATATTCATGACAACTAACCAGAGCATAGATGCAATTAAAATAGAACTCAAAAAAGCTGCCAATAAAGATACTAATATCAAAATTGAGTATGAAATTGATACATTAGTTAACTTTTTGAATCTGACTATAGTCAATACGGATAGTAACTTAAAAACATGTCTTTATCACAAAGCAACGACTGAACCTTTTATATTACCATACACATCCGATCACCCACGATATGTTCATTGCAATATACCATTTGCTGCTTTATTACGTGCTGTTCGAATTTGTTCGGATGTACATGATTTCAACAGAGAATGCATTCATATTGATATGTCACTGTTATTAAATAATTATCCACCAAACTTTATCACAAAACAATTCAATCGATTCTTCGAAGTCAACAATGCTATGCCTGTTGTAAACGATTTGAATGATCAGGTTTGTCATCGGCTACATCAACAGTTATTATGTCAACCTGAACAACGTGAAAAGCAACTTCACACGAAGACACCAGATTCGATTCGATCACCTACAGTACTACAATAGAAGACATGGGAGAGTGTGGGTGTGGGTATACTTTTATCTGATATTCACACCACACACACACCCTTTTTTTAAAAAATAATTAAATCGAAAATGAAACAAATTTGAAGAGAATAAATAAATAATTTTACATAATATTTTATTTATATTTGTTTGAATTCTTGAAAATTTGATCCAAAAAAAAATTGAAATCTATAATTGAATCATATAATATTCTTATTGATTATATTCATTACAAAAAGTAACGAAATTTTAATAACAATTAATTTTATCTTTTTTTTTTTCTTGAAATAAATTTCATTGATTAACTTACGTTCAGTACAATATAATTCTAATTTTGTATTATTTGATTTACAAATCAAATAATTTGAGAAATTTTTGATAATAAAATCAAGATTAATTTGAGACACAATAATAATTATTTGTTGAAGAAAATTTAAAATAAATAAATATATATTAATAGATTGATTATGCTTTCAAGTAATAAGATTCAAATTGATCATCTAATTATCATTAACATAATATTTTGTTATTGATTTAACTGAAGATGAAAGATTTAAATTAATATCAATGATTTTTTTTTTCGATTAATAATCAATAAATCCGATTTTATTTTATTTTTTTGATAAAAATTCTCAGTGAAGGAAAATCTTTTAAATATCATTAAATAATTTCGATTGATTAAAATATAAAAATTAACAAGTTATCTGTTAACTACCAAAAAGAATAAATGAACATCGAAATAGATATATTTCGATAATTTTTTTTTTGAAAAACATTGAATTCATATTATTCATTAATTTAAATTAAAGATTAACAAAAAAAGATTCAGAGATGAAAATCAACATTAAAATTTTTATCAATAATTTGTATAACAGAATGATTATTATTATTTTGATATGAATTATTGATGAAGAAATTGAGTATCTATGCTTTTTCATAACAAGATAAATCTGACTTCAATTGTTTGAATATTGAAAATATAATAATTTTTAAATTATTATTTCTATTTATATTATATTGATTAATATTTATTTGTTATTTTTATTAAGATAAAATGTTAGAGAGATTTGTTTCATCTAAAAATTTTTAATTTGAATTTTTTCATAAATTTTATTTTTAAATTATTTTACTTTTTCTGAGGACATTTGATGAAAATCTTTTATATTAAAACATTTTAATAGCATCTCCATAATTACAAATATTCGAAGATGAAAACCTTTCATGTTCAACAGCATTGATTTATATATACATTGGCTCAGGAATATGGTAACTGTGGGATGCGCACCCTTTCACTTTTAGAAAATTTTTGTTTTTCTTCAGTAGAAATCGTAGTTTTCATTTAAACAAAAAAAAAAGATCTTAAAAAGAAGAAAAAAGGTTCGACATCCCCTCACTTTTTTTTTCTTTGCTCCATCCCTGCATTGACTTTTATTCGAATGAAATATTAATTGTTTTTACATACTGAGGTTTCATTGGTTCTCATTTAGACAATGTCCGTCAAGCGAATATATTTATTCAATGTGTAGACGAACATATCAAATAACCAATGAACTGTTTGTCAAATAGAAGTATGTGATTATTTAATAATATTATCATTTTTTTATTCGTTTTTTTTCCATAGATAATGTTGTCGAATTACTCGATTTACCTAATGAAATGATCTTATCCATAATGAATAAAGTCAAACCTCAAGCGATATTGCCTTGTTCTATTATTAATATTGGAAATCATCGTTTGGAACAACTTGTTCTTGATAAATGTTATTCGATTGATCTAAGTTTTGATTATTATCATTCACCATATGAGTTACTTCTCAAACGATTCTATTCAGATGTTTTACCTCGTATTTACAATAATATTCAATCATTGACAATCACTCTTAAACATTTATTATATATTGATGCTGCTATCAAAGCAATTGATGATAAAATTCTTCCTAATTTAAGACATTTGAAAATATTAGCAGGTCGTCGTCGTCATTATACGGGAACGCCTTTCACAATAAGTAAATTAGAATTTATTTAGATTTCTAAATGCAGAAAATGACGAAATAATGAGATTTTCTCATCGATTCTAATATTAAAACGAACGTGGTGGTGGAATAGAGAAATAGTTTTCTACTTGCTCTTGATTTTATTCGAATTGAAGATCTAGCTTGATTTGAAACTTCTGTAGAACGTAACAAATTTCACACAAAGAGCTTTATTTTAAAATAGAAAGTTTATAATAAGGATATCAAAGTAATATTCAACTAGAAGTGGTACATAACTATTACATCAATATATATTCTAAAAACTATCAGAGTTGTCACTCTGGGTTTTTGTTTTCACTCTATTTCATATATATATAATGTTCAGTATGTATGTGTGTCTGTTACCATGTCAAAGGTTAAAGGTCAAATCGAGCATTGTTAGATTTCTAGAATTGTGTAGACTCTACTAAAATGTAGGTAACATAAGGAGCATTTATATATATAATGTTGAGTGTATGCCAGTATATCTCTTTCTCTCTATTGGACAAAAAAAGGTTTCTTTTTCCAATTCATTTTTTTTTATTACCTAATACGTTGTGTTAAAAAAATACAAAATATACTACAAGATGTAGCGTGAAAAGCTCTACAATTTACAAATGACAGCTTATTTTATAGGTGCATTTTTTGTGGTATACGTTGAATTACTTTTTTTATTGCTTTGGTTAATGAGTTATATCGATGACCAAATTTAGATCAATCGATATGTATTCCAATTACAACAGTATGCGATGGGATCAAGTAAAAAAAACCAATGATTTATTAATTGATGAAATAAGAAAAGGAATTGATTGTCTATCAAAAATGATCTTTTCATAGCATCAAATTTTGTCCACTTTGAAAACAAAAAGTGCAACTATAAAATAAGCTGTCCTTTGTAAATTGTAGAGTTTGTAGTATATTTTTTTTTTTTTTAATACAGCGTATAGGTGATGAAGAAATGAATTGGTAAAAGAAACCTTTTTTTTTGTCCAAGGGAAACTGAAGCAAAGGTCAAGGATCACAGGGTAACGAATAAAAATCAAAGATTAATGTGATGTTTTAAACTCAAATATATCTCGTAATGCAATATTCCCATGGATGAATGAATCCTTCGCTTCCAGAATATTAGAGAAAAGCATATCTTATATAGAGAGCTACAAAACAGAACATATGTAATTGAAAGATAGAGACAACAATGTATCACATGGAGGACGCGAAACGAAGAGAGAGGACATCATGCAACAAAGAAAAAGAGAGAGAGTTTCTGTTGAAGTACGTTATTGTTAAATGATAGTCTTTAAAACTGTAACCATGCAATTTGCACGAAGTCTAAGTAGTATTACTCATTCATCTATAAAATTAGTTCTATATTTCATCATGAAAAAAGTCTACTTTTTCTAAGCAGTCTTCGTAATAATATATATCATTCATATTTATATAATTTAGGTTTTCATTATGACAGTGAATTACATCGTTCACCTCTTTTCTCAACTATACCTCAATCTGTCTATATTGAAGATAAACTCATTGATCCAGTCTTATCAATCATCCGTTATTCACCACTTATGCGGTCTATTGACTCTTTTGAATTCGATCATGATGCTGCACTATTAGTACCTGTCAATAATGAAAAATTATTCTTTGCTCAATCATATCTTACTCATGTATCCGTCACATTACGAGAATTATCTGATTGTGTTCGTTTACTGAATCAATTAGGTTCACAAATATACTCATTTACTGTAAGTATTGTACACGTTTATCGAGGTAATGAAGATATTATATCTCAATTAGATTCAGTAAGTTATATGTCTCAATATGATATTTTGTCTAATTAATTTCATTTAGATATTCTGTTGCAATTTGAAACAATTAACAATGATAATCTATCGTAATATTCTAAGCTATGAAGAACATATTCTTCCTCTTTTACAACATTTATCAAGTGTTGAACATTTAACATTATTATTAGCTATTACAGTAATTGGATCAGATCATTTTATTGATGGATATCATTTACAAAGAAACATTGTTTCATATATGTCTTATTTACGTCAATTTGATTTTCATATTCGTTCAATATTACAAGATGCTCCTTATATCGAAATTGATACAATTCGTCAAAGTTTCATCGAACAACAACAATCTATTGATTGTACACTTGATTATTTCAATAATCAATATGGTCAATGTCAAATCTATTCACTTCCATTTATTGGTAATCGTCTTGATTTTATTTCAAATCGATTTCCACTTTTCGATTTTAAAAATACATTTATAAACGTTACTATATTATTACTTTTTGATGATGTTAAATCTTTTGAAAATGCTTTTTTTGAACGTGTTACACGAGCTTTACCTCGTCTTCGAACACTCGAAATATCTAATCAATTAGAACAGGAAGAGAAAGTGAATACAATAACAACAAATTCTACTGAATTTTCTCACTTATCTACACTTATTTTACATAAGATTCATATCGATTACGGAGAACAACTTCTTTGTCGGACTCATCTTCCAAATCTAGTAGAACTTGTCATTCGTAATGATGTATTATTAACAATAATCGCTCAAGATAATCAACAAGCTAGAAATAATTGTTCAAATGTTGAAACACTTTTTATTGTTGAACCATGGATTGAACCAACAAATGTTCATTTTAAATTTTTTCCTAAACTTTATACGAATGATTTGTAAGAAATCAATCTGTGTATTGTGTTTAAATTTGTAAATAAAATCTTCTTTGTCAAAAGTAGAATATGAATTATTTACGATAGAAGAAAAATCATTATAATTATTTCTTGTACTGAAACGAATTGTTCAACCGAAAAACTTATACAGAAACTTTATATTGAACAAATATAAAGTTTCTATATAAGAATAGTACAAAACGATACTCCAATATTCATAACCTAGATAAGAGAGAGAGAGAGAAACTATTAAATACTTTTCAAAGAAAGAGTTTTAACAAATGAATACATTGAACATTTTTCCATGAAATATGACAATAAATTGTGAATTTAATGTTTTGTTTTTAATTAAAAGATTTTTCTGTTTATTGTTAACAGAACAGTATTCGAACTTTGACACGAAAATGTATTTGAAATTCAATAAATTTATTTCAACTATATTAAACTAATATAAGATTTTAGAAGCGTTATAATAAAAAAAAACAGCAAAATCGTATTAAATCATTTCACAAGTACATGAATACACTAAATTATACAGTACAAAAACTAATATTATTATTATAATCTCTTTTCAAAAAGTTAAAAAAAAAAATTCTTTCAAAATATATATAATCATATGCATATATATTATTGTTAATTCAGTTTTCGAGAACTCTCTCTTATTACAGATAATGAATAGTCTTATAATTCAAAATCAATTACATTCTCAAAAACTAAAAATATTGATTATTGATCAAAAAACATTAAGTATATAAATAATGGTTCTGATCTTATAAAGATTAAAATATAACAACAATTTCTCATAGAATTATAGATATATATGAATTCATTAAAAGTCTATAAGGTTTCTTCTGTAAACATAAGATCAATGAGAAAAACATTCGATAAAGTGAAATTAATTGTTTGGAAAAAAGAACACAACATAGGATATTAAATATTAATCAAATAAGGTAGTTTAGAAATACTTAAAAAAACTTTCAAAAGAAGAGTTGAATTAATATTAAGACATAAGATGATGGAAAGAAATTTGAAGATTAATTGAAAATGAATTTTTGAACAAATGCAATAGTGGATATCTTTTATCTTAACTCTTTATTTCATTGATGTAATTGAAAACTTGAATGTAACACTGTTCAACTAAATTTATTAAAATGATAACTATACTATTGTGACGATATAAAAAATAAAATTTTTCATCAAAAGACACGGTACAAACAAGTAAGAATCTAAGATATAAGGATATTTTTAAATTACTTATCAGATACTAAACAGTATGTTATAATGAAAAAGAGAAGAGAGAATCATACGCATCGACGTATATTCACGTAATAAATAACTAAAAATACCAGAAAGAGAAACAGAAAAAAAAGCATACTTTTGTTTAAGAGTTTCATAGTTACACGTCTTTGCATATTCCTTTTCAATATTAGCCAGAATAATTGTTTATCTTCTATTGTTAAATGCTATGTTTCTTAAACATTGTTTTAACGGAACAAAATATAAGAAAAAATTGACTTAAATTGCAAAAGAAAAAAAAATGAGAAAGCAAGTAGAGGAGCATGAGAAGAAATAAACATGATTGTATGTTGAGATACAAGAATGTTTTAAACAAAGATGAGGAGATTAAGCTGGGTCTGCTTGTGCACATATATATAGTCTGAATTTCTAATATAAATGTATTCATCTACATATACTTTTTTTTATCATCACGAAAAAATATTTATGGCTGAAAAAAATAAAGAAAAATTACAAACTCCACAGGAGTTTGAGAGTAAGTACCTATTGGAAAACTTTCATATTTATTTAAGTAAGACTGTTTCAAATTATAATATGTTTTCAAAATGTTGGAAAGATTGTTCATTTGAAAAATATTTCCCAATTATTTTTGAGATGTTTTTATATTATTGTGCACCACAATGTCTGCGAAATCAAATAATGTCAAAATCTTTTAATTATCTTTGTAAACAAAGGAGTTATTAGTGATAGTTTGAAGAGAACTATTTTTCTTTTAATTATAAACATCTTTTAACGTTCTTTATTCTAATAAGAAACAGTATATCCAGTTAGAACGCATGAAATCTTTAAAGAATCATTAATACTCAACTATTACAAATCAAGCACAATTCGATCTGGAAATAAATAATCTTTAGTAAACAAGAAGCTTTTTCTATTTAATAAGTGTAGCAAAATCTTGAAGTTTGAAAAGCAAAATCGAGTGATTTCTTTTTGAATTTTGTATTTCTTAATCATTCATCATCTACTGCTATATTTAGAAAGTGATCATAATTAAGACAGAAGCAATTTCTCTTCAAACTACTAATAATAGTTTATTTATATATCATAACAATTAGATGATTTCGACATGATTCAATTCAGTAGATATTATTGCACTCAATAATATAAAAATCTCAAAAATAATTAGGAAAATTTTTTATAATGAAAATTCTTTACATCATTTTCGAAAATTTATCTTATT